AATCCTTTATCCGTTGTACGTTATTCCTTGCCCGATATCCGTTTTTTTCGTATCTTAAACTATTTTTTTTTTTTTTTATTTAATTTTTTTTTTTTTTTGGATCACAGCAGCAGGGAGGGAAATGTTTATTTTTATTGGCAGCTCCTTCTGCCCTCTGGCCTCTGGCCTCTGCCCACTGTCCTCTCGTTGTTCTTCGTTAATTGTTGAATCAAAAACAACACACAGATAAATCAAAATGGTTATGGGATATGGCTGTGTGGCTGCATTGCTGTTCTGTTTAGTTCTCTCATCCCGTTTCTTCGTCGTCTGCGTCCATTGCCAACAAGAAACAGAAATCACTCAAAAAAAAAAAACATACAAATCACAAGAGTAACGATATCGTTATCGTTATCGATATCGATAGTTATGGGAACAGAACGGAATGGAATAGAATGGATCGAATGGGCGGGCGTGGATCGGTGGAGCAGATCCGCTTGAAATGGTTTGCACTTCCGTTTTTATCCTTGAGAAATGAGACTGGATATGGGATATGTGTGTGTGTGTGTGTACATGAGTGTGTGTGTGTGTGTGTTGGGACGGGGGTGTGGGTCTTCTTTGGGTCATGGATCGTGGGGTCGTGGGGTCGTGTGGGTCAGACTAATGGCACATACCACTCTTGGCTCAACTCTTGCCTCTATATACTTTACATACGAGTAAAACTCTCGAATTTCAGTTTTCAGAATTTCCAACAAACAAACAAAAAATATTCATATATCCATTTATGCATTTCGCAAGAGAAACAGAAAAAAAAATAATAACAAAACGTTCTTGTTCCGGGGGATCTCGAAACCGTTAACCGTTAACCGTAACCGGGTAGCCCGTAGCCCGTAACTTTTGTGGAGATCAGATCAGATGCACATGTTGTCCGTTAAACCGTTAAACCGTTAGGCGCTGCAACCGGGCAACGCAATCCGCAAAAACTTAAACACGGAACGCCACCCGTCCAAGTCCGACCCGGAGTCGGATTTGGATTTGGATTTGAATTTTTGGAGTCGGAGTCGAAGCTCTGAGTCGAAGCTTGCAATCTCTTCCGTGTGGCGACGACAGCGACCAGCGACAGCCCGTTGCTGTGCTGCTGTTGTTGTTGTTGTTTTTATTGTTGTTGTTGTTGTTGTTAATGTTGCTCTGGGATGTTGCTCTCCGCGGCCAACGTGCGTGCATGCGAACGAAATAAAGTGAAATGAAAGGAGTAAGCGAGCGAAAGAAAGCAGCAGCCACAAAAGCGCTGCCACTGCCACTGTCGCGGTCGTCGTCGTCGTCGCTGCTTCAGCAACACAGCAACAGCAGCAACAGCAACAGCGCCAAGCTATGCCAGCGCAGGCGTAGACGCCTGCCGCCACACTCACTCCCCACACCACACCACACACTCTCTCCCCACTCACTCTCTATCCCTATCTCTCTCTCTCTATCTGTCTCTGTCTCTTTCTCTCCCTTTCTCTCGGGGTACTCCCCAAGCTCCATCAAAATAATTTCGACCGAAGAGTTGCTGCCAGCGATCGGCGCGCAGCCCAGGCCAGACATTAGAAGCGCGACAGAGCCAGAGCCAGTGACAGAGAGCAGAGGCAGAGTCATAGAGACATAGACATAGGCCAGGGACAGCGCAGTTGGCGCTCAGCGCAGAGCAGCGACGCTGACTGCAAACGAAAATGAAAACCAATAGACAAAAAGTAAAAAAGAAAAAAAAAGCACACAGCAAATACAACAAAAGCAAGCGCACGTCAACACCAACACCAACACACACACACACACATAGAAATAGGCAAAGGCAGAGGCAGAGATAGAGGCAGTGGCAGTGGCATAGGCAGGCACGAGAGCATACACGAACGAACATACTTGGCCGAACACGACGTCGACGTCATAGTTATGATTTCGGGCAGGCAGCAGGAAGCAGCAGCACCAGCACTCTCTCTCTCTCACTCACTCTCTTTGTCTCTCTCTCTCTCGCCCGCCCGCTTGGGGGCTCTAACAGTTGCATGTTTGTTTGCCTGCCAACACTCCGCCTGCTCCCTGCCCCTCCCCCACACCTATACGCTGGAGTTCATTGCAACGGCAAACGGGCGAAATGTGGCAACATAGAACAGAGAAATTCTATCGCAGCCCCCCCACCACCACCCCCCAACCGTTGCATTGTGCACCACTTACATATCTAAGTATTGCATTCAAATTAGAATTTGAGCAGAGGCAGAGACTGAACATACACAACACACACACACACACACATATGTATGTGCATAGGTACCGTATGTATGTATGTGTATGTGTGTGGTGTCTGTGTGGACGTTGACCGGCTAAACCGAGTTGGGGAATGTTGGAGCGGGGCGGCAGGGCGGCAAGGAGGAAGCGCACTCGCTGAAAGCTTCTTGCTGCCCACCCCTCCCCCCTAAAAAGCTTCTTTTTCCCATTGCACATTGCATATGCTCACCAACCCACCCCCACCCCCACACCCCACCACCCCTGGCAACAGCCTTGTGTCAAAACTGTGCCACATGCTGCCATTGCACTCGCTTTGGATGATGACAGGGGCAGGGACAGGGGCAGGAGCGCAGGCAGGCGGCTGCTAGGAAGAAGGAGAGATTGCCGAATGGTTGGTGGGAGAGAGGGAGGGAGGAGGGAGGCAGGGAGGGTTTGGGAGCAGCAGGAGCTTTGGCGAGAGGGAGAGAGTGCTGCAGTATATATGTAGATTGTTGCTTCCTACTCTGCACACTCTCTCTCTCTCTCTCTGTGCTCTCTCTCTCTCTCTTTCTCTCTCTCTGTGTGCTCTCTTTCTCTCTCACTCTCACTCTCTCTCTCTCTCATTCTCTATTTTAATCGGCCCCCGAAAAGGGAGTTTAGATCGAAAGTTCTATGATCAGGCCGCAAAGACAGTCCCTAAAGCAGGCTGTAAGGGTGTAACGGTGTGTGAGTGGGTGGGTGGTGTGGTTGGGTGGCTGGTTGGGGGGTTGGTTGGTTTACAGAAGTAAAAGTTAATTTGAATTAGGAGCAACAATTGCAACGATAATGTTAACAATGGGCAATGGCAAGGCGATTGCGCAACGCGGACCATGGCAAGTGGAGCGAACAGTGGACAGTGGGGACAGTCGACAGTGGAGACAATCGCCAATGTCATGGAATGCCACGAAATGCCAAATACGCCAAAAGAAATTGGCATCTTCTTCTGCTCCACCTCCAAGAAAATATACACTGCACCACAGCTGGGCAGCGGGGGCTGCCTCTCCTTCAACGATTCCCTTTCCCTTGGTGGGATTATGGGATACCAAATAAAACAACTAGAATTGTTGGAAACCATATCACATGTTCGTAGTTCCCATTGCCATATTCATTTCAACCCAAAATATCCCTGCAAGATCTGTGAGTCCTCCGAGGAACGATCAGCCAGCCCAGCGACAGACTTTCTTATGGCTCCGTTTAGCATTAATACAAATGAACCAACTAATTGAAGTGAAATAAATGAGAATAAAATCTGACTACTTATTGTTCTGTCCCCTACTTACAAGTGGAGTTGCAATAAATAAACAAATATATTAAAAAAAAAGAATAATAATAATATATTTCTCCCATTGTAGGTAGGGATGGTAGAGAACAGTTTACATTTACATTTAATTTCACTGCCAGAGATAAAGGATAAGATGCGAGGCATAATCATACGGGAAGGATCAGGGCCGGATTAGCCCTTAGGCCCTTAGGATTCAAGGGGGCTGCCGATGCAAATGCTAACAGAAATTCCAAATAATGAGTATAAAATATAATAGCCACCGAAAATTAACAACCAAAAAATATACAAAATAATAACCAAAAAAACCAAACAGCTATAAGTTTTTATTTCAAATGAAAAAAAGGAAGGCGACTAGGGCAAGTAGGGACCACAAATTGATGGTTACAGGGTCCTAGAGGGTCCCGTTGAGTGTCGATTATGCCCTGAGAAGCATTCAATCCACTGCTACACATGTATGCACATACATGATACGATACGATACCATATCATTCTGGCGCTAAATGGCAATTGGTTCTTTCTGGCTGGTGATTGTATCAAGAGCTTCGGCCCAACGAAAGTTTCGAGCTCACCTTTCCTGCTGTTGCTGCTGTTGGTGCCGTTGCTGTTTGCTTGTCGATTTTGTTGCTTTCAATTCGTTCGTTGACCATTGTCCGAAAGCACTTTCGATTTCAAATCACATTGCAAATGCTCTGCTGCTGGCAGCAACAGCAACAACAGCAGCAACAACAGCAACAACAGCAACAACAACAGCAACAGCAGCAACAACAACAGTAAAAACATACAGCAATAATTGTTTGGCGCACATTTCATTTCCTTATTGCTCACTGACATTTTGCCACACACACACACACATAGCATACACACACACACACATACGCAATGCATAACGTAAATGGCTTACGACTTTATAATGAGCAACAACAACAACAACAAGAGCAGTCGCAGCAGCAGCAGCAGCAATCAAGACGTCGCCGTCGCCGTTGCCATTGCCATCGCCGTAGCTGAGCCGCAGCAGAGGCTTGGCTTGGCTTGGCTTGGCTTTGGGGTTGCCCCGCAAAATGTTGTTGCTGTAAGTTGCTGTAATGTCAGGAAGCCTTTGGCTCAAAGTTTGTCTCTTCCACTCCCTCTCTTGCACTCTCTCCCGCTCTCGCTCTCTCGCGCTGTTGCTTGGTGCCAAAGTGAAAGTTGCACGTTTTGGTTGGCGGCAGGCTGAGGAGGAAGCGGGGGGGTGCCTAGGATTCTGATCGCAGCGCAAAGCGAGAGCCAGAGAGAGATGGCATGCGGAAATGTACTCGCACGGGTACGTGTATGCAACTTGCAGTTTGGCTGGCCACAGAGAGCGATCGTGGCGCTCTCTCTCTCTCTCTCTCTGTATCTCTACTCCCACTCTCCCTCTCTCTCTCTCACTGTCTTTCTCTCTGAGAGAGATCGCTGAGAGAGCGCGTTTGGGTACGTTTTGAGTACTCACCGGACCACAGTGCCGGGCCAGGCATTGCTGCAGCTGGAGTCTGGCGTGACGTCGTTTGGTTAGCTGCTCCTTTGGGGGGGTGTTGGTGGGGATTGGGGGGGAGTTCTGTGCTTTGGGTTGCGCGCGATTCTGGGATGCCGTTGCTTCTTCACTTGGCACTTTACTTTACTCGATCTGTACCTGGATCTGGATCTGCCTCAGGATCTGGATCTGGATCTCTTCACGCACACTCTCTTTAAAGAACACTGGAAAAAAATGCATGCCGCCTTGGGACTCTCTCCTGTCCGTATTTGTTTCCGTAGTTTGTTCCGCGTATTTTGCCAATTTGTAATTTTATTTTATTTTTTTGTTGATGCTTTAAAGTGCCGCGCGGGGGCTGCGCCTTCGAGCCACAATTCGAACTGAAGTCGGAGCCGAGGCTGGGGCCAAAACAAAGCTCAGGCAGAGGCAGAGGCACGGCCAGCGTTGGCAGCGGACAGCAGACCAGACAGCGGACAGCGCTGCACTTGTGCTCCGTTCCGTTACCCCGTCTCTGTTTGTCAGCGCCCTCTCTTTGGTATCTTTAGTTTTTGTTATTTTTTTTGTTTTTTTGTTTGTTTTTTTTTATTACATATAATTTTTTGGTTCTTAACAATTGTCGTGGGCTTCCCTTCGAACGGTTCGTTACTCATACGCAGCGTGGTGCACTTTTCATTTATGGCAAGTTCTGGTCGCGTTCGCTCGCTCGCTGCTGCTGCTTTGGCTGCTGCTGTGGCCTGGCGGCTGCTTCTTGCACGGCGGTCTGGCGGATATAACGGAAATGTGCAACTGGCAGCCACCAAAACAGCCGCAAAGCAAAATTGTCAAAGCAGCACCCAGCGAACACACACCACACACAGGGCAGAGAGAGAGAGAGAGAGAACCCGGAGAGCGACCCAGAGAGACCCAAAGAGAGATACCAGCAGCAGCAGAAGAAGCAAAAGCAAAAGCAAAAGAAACAGAAATCGAAAACGAAGTCAGTCGCTGCACAACGTCTATGTGGGTTTTCCTTACTGCCATTTGTTGTTGCTGCCTGCCTGCCTGCCTGCCACTGTTGGTGCAGCAACTGCGCTGCTCTTGTCGGTTGGGTGTGGGGGTTGGGGGGACTTCTAACTGGCATCAAGTGCACATGGCAATAGCAGCGCTGCAACGGCAACGCTCTCTCTCTCTCTCCCACCAGCTGCACTCTCTCAAACGCTCTAAGCTCTCTCTCTCTCTATCTCTCTCTCTCTGTGGGTTTGCTTGCATCATAGGCTACCCCTCGCCCGCGCCCTGCCTTGCCTTGGAATTTCTTGTTGTTGTTGTTTTTGCAGTGGCAGTTGCTTAATCAAAAAATATGCCGCCCGCCTTTCACGCGCCCCCCAAAAACAAAAACAAAAAGAGCGCAAAAAAAAAGCACAGGGGTTGGGGTTTGGTGTTTGTGGGTGGTGCGGTGCGGTGGTGCGGGGCGGAGGGTGGGTGTTGCAGACGCATGCAGCCACCGAGTCAACCAACTTTAGAAGGTCATGTGGACTAAGTGCAGCCGAATATCCTTGGCTGATATTGGAACAAGTATATAGAGGAGAAGCATGCACACAATACGAGTGCATGTACATACATACATAGCACATACATACATATGTACATGCACTTTTGTTTGTTTGTTTATTTGGTTGGCATTCGCGCATTGCGTGCACTTTTCGTGCATTTTGTATGTTTTTCAGGAATCGACTCCTCGCCTCCACAGCTCAGGTGCGTTCCCCCCCCCCACACCCTTCAAGTGTGTGCGAGAGGGGTGGTGGGGGTGGTGTAGAGCTAGCAGTTAGGTGGTTAGGTGCCCGGCTCTAGTTGTTATGGTTACCATATGGCCATCAGCGGAGTAAGCTAGAAAGAAAGGCCATCAGCCGATCCCTGTTCCCTGTCCCTGTTCCAGTCCCTGTAAAAATTTCCCATAGGCGAACGGACACATTTGTTTCTCATGACACCAAAAACAGGGACCCATTGAGAGACTGGCCAAAAGATTTATGAGAGCATCACCTGTGGCTTAATAACAATTAAATGCAGGGCCCAGCAACAATGCCCAGAAATGCAATATTGATATTTGCATATATTTGCATTAATAAAATGTCTGACTGATCGGGAATTAATTGTTTCCAGTTCGAAACCTCAACTCAAATTGCGTATACGTATTGTTCCATCGCGTACAAATCGAAATTCATTCAATAATTGTTGCTAAAACGTAACCCACTGACAAGTTTAGGCATCTGGCCAGGCCAAGGCCAAGGAAGCAATTAAAAACTAAAAATTATTGATGGTCAAATACAAATATATCAAAGTTCTATGTTGCACCATGCAAATGGGTCTTAAGCTGAAATTCTTTTAAAATATGCAGCAAAATCATCTATGGTTTAGGCAGAGAAAGAAGCAGATGCCCCTTTTTGGGGGATTCCTTTAATTGCTATCTGGCCATTCGATTTATAATTGTAGATGCAGCGATAGATATGCCATGCCTTTGCGTAGATTTTAAGTTGCAGCTCCAACTGCATGTACATATGTGTATGTGTGTATATGTTATTCATACGTGTGTTTGTGTGTGTGTAGATACAAGTTATACTCTAATTGCCAGTCATGAGGTTCAACAACTTTCACACAAAAATCCTTGAACGCCATTTGCATAAAACCCCAACTGCAGGCTGAGCGTTGAAGCAAACAACAAGATTACGTATACGCCACCATTGCAACAGACGTAAGAGTGGGAGTTGGAGAGAGAGAGAGAGACAGAGAGCGAGCGAGAGATGCGAATAGAGGAAGACAGAGACAAGGCTAGGGCCTGTAGAGCGGTTATTTTCTTGTTGTCGTTGCATTTGGTAGAATTTGTGTAGAAAGAGCAAAAATAACAAATAACAAAACAAAAAAATAAAACAACTAAAAGCGCAAATTATTGGGGCCAAAAATTATTGTTTATTTGTTTTTGTGTTTTTTTGTTTTTTGTTTTTAATATTATATTTTATGTGTACTTTTTTTATTTATTTATTTCTGTTCTGTTTTATTATGTGGCCAAACACATATTGTCGATTGTCGAATCGAATGTCAAGTGAACAAAAAAAAAAGGGCAGACAGCAGAGAAGTTCATGAGAAGCCAAAAAAAAAAAAAGAGAAGCGAGAATGCGAGAAGAAAGAGAGAAAGAAACAGTAACAGAGGGTGAGACAGAGGCAAGGGAGTGGAAGTATGGGAGAGGTCTGTCCGGAAAAGTGCAAAATGCTGACAATCTCTTGTTGTTGTTGTTGTTGCTAGTTTTGTTGTTTGTTTCTGTTTTTTTTTACTGGCATTATGTTTCTGGGTCACCCATACACAGCCATATTTCACATACATACACATACAGATAAACATATATACATACATATGTATATATATATGGAATACATATAGGAACTTTTGGTTGCATCTGTAGGGGCACGGCACCCCAGAAGCGACTCGAACTTGGCGCGAGGCACGCACCCCCCCCCCCCCACACCACACCACACGCCCCGTACACCTGTGGAGTGGGTTACACCTAACCATAAATCTAGTACCCGTATCAATTCTCACCTCGTGGCACTGTGACGTGACCCATGGCACCATGCCACCCGGCCACCATGCACCAAGCACCAAGCACTTACCTTATAAAACGAAAGTCCAACGCTGCAAAAGAAATGCCCGCGTCATTCCCTCTTAGAACTGAAATGGCAAAGAAGATCGATATGGAGTCATCAGTATCATCGGCTGTATCGAAATATTCTATATTTAATATTAAATTATTAAAATATTCAAATGACAGACCTATGCTATAAAATATCCTAATGCTCTGAGTAGCTCAGAATAAGCTAAGAATTCACATGTTTAGCTTTTTATCTGTGGAAAATTACACGCTACACTAGACTATAGAACGGTGAGCACATAAGACATACAGTACATATAAATATGTACAGTACATATAATAGAGTGTTGGATGTAACCCAAGATCAGGACATAAGGATTAATGTGTTCAGTCTGACACTTTAAGAATTGAAGTATCAGCCTCCTACAGTATATATTTTGTACATACACACACATATGTACATATATACAATATGCACTTAATTCATGTACATATATACAATATACATATAAGAAATTCAAAATTCGTTTATTCCTATTTGTTATTGTATATCCCTTTCTGCATTGATCCCAGTCGAATAAATACAAGACGAGATTTCCTTTGAGCTTCAGCGACTGACAACTCTGAAACGCACTGTATATACATATGTATATCAGACATACATACATACATACATACATATGCACAAAATAAGTTCGATAGTTTGTTCTAGTTTCTTTTGGGGCTAATGGTGGGCTGGATAGTGTTGCATAATACAGATATGTATTCTATATAGTCCACATAGACCATTCTACCATTTCAATTTCCCATTTGGCTCCTCCAATTCGGGCATTGAGCATTTTGTCGGTCAAGTGAAGTGTTTTGTTCTTTTTTCTATTCCATTCTTTTCTTTTCTGTATGGGACTAAATGCACACCGTTATCTCGGATTTCCCTCCACAAAGGGGAGCAGGGCAGCGTGTGGCAGGAGGAGTGCTGCAGCCGGGTATATCAAATTTCCCCCGACGACCCTACCACCATCACCCCACACCACCCCCCACCACCCCACCCCTAGCCCTTGCTTTGCTGCGCTTTTTCAAATTCTTATTTCTTTTTTGGATTTTAGTCTTCATTTTTTTTGTATTCTTTTGGCTGCTTTTTGGGTCAATTTTGACAGTTGCGTCGACAATGAATGACAGGCAGCGGCAACAGCAGCAACAGCCGCCCAGGGATCGATTTTGGGCAGCAGCAACAACAACAATTTGAGTGAGCATCAATATTTTCCACTGCAACATAACCCCTCCCCCCGCCACAACCACCACCACCCCTCCGACAATTGATGGGCGACGGGCGCTGGGCCAAGAACTTGAAAATGTGTGTGGGTTTTCTTTTCATTTCTCTGCTGCTGCTGCTGGATGACAAAATTCTTGTCTGCTCCACATTTTGTCGCTGGGTGAAAAGCAAAGCAAGCTGTGGATAGGGCAGAGGGGAAAGAGATCAGAATTGGGGGGACAGCAAGAAGAGAACCTTTTTGGGTTAAAGAGTTCTGCAGATATCGAGGACTAGATGATGGTTCAAGGATAATGAAGAAAAAAGAAGCTGAAGCAGCTAATGGAGATGGTATGCAACAAAGAGTAGGGAAAAAGGTTGAGAACAGAGTGAATAAATTAGAACAATTTGAGACAAAAGTTGGAGACAAAATTTGGCAGGGAAATGAACATTAAAGCGAGTGAAAGCGAGTAGTAAATCTCCTTTAGATCTTTATATTTTTGGGCACAAATAAAAGGAATGAAAAATGCAGAAATGTTTGATGGGAGGGAGAATATTATTGAAGATATGGAAAAACTTTAATAAGTATTTGAGAAGATCGCCAAAATGATGTCCATACTTCCTCTTAAATTTATATGTACATGTGTACATATGTGTGTACATATGTATGTATATGTAGATGTAAAGATATGTAGACATATCTAATGGAGGCTCTTATGTGGAGCTGGTAACTATTCCATTTTAAATGGTTCCAATATATGTACATATAAGAATCGTACCATCTAAGTTCTATTTCTATTTAAATATTTAAAAAATTGTATGTTGCATTGTCATATTGATATTACGTTATAATTTGTTAGTTTAACTGCTCATAGTTGAACCTTATAAAATAAATACAAATACAAATTAAGACCTAGAACCACCTCAATGATGGGGGTTCTACGGAATGCTTTTAAAAGCGGAAACATTTCGCTGTATGATCTATGCACGGCCACAGCTTATTGTCATTGATGGAATGGATCAGCTCTATCAGCAGTAAAAGTAAAAGAAGATTCTCCATAATAGAGGAGGGTGGCGGGACGATCTTTGCCATCTGTGGCTGGCTACAAATGAGAGAAAAACGTTTTATATCGTGATTGATTTCCTTTTTTATACACGCATTTTCCTGGGTTTATTCTTGGTCTCTTGTTCTATGCGTCATTACCGCCAACAAGCGTCGCGCTAGCCACCCCACAGCGCACTATTTATGTTTGCTGGTGACCTATATATCAGTGCCCCGTGCCCCGTGCCTGCTTGCCACCTCGCCGGCCCCTCGACAGCCCCTTAATTTTGTGGAAAGGTGTATGAGACATTGAGAGATCTTTCGGGGTCTGTCTGTTCGAGTAGCTGTATCTGCATCTGTGTCTGTTTCTGTGCCTGTTGTGCCCTCGGTGCCTTGGTATGCCGATAGTTCCACGCACACACTCCACACACACACACACACACAGAATATGTGTGCACATGTTTCTCTCCCCGTCTCTCTTGCTCTGTCTCTCTATCGGGGACACCTTCAACACATCCCTGGACGCGTATCAAGTTGAAGGTTTATTTTTGTTTACAATCATTTTTTTTTCGGTTTATTTCTTGTGCTGTTTTTTTTAACAACGAATAACAGAAACAAAAAAAAAAGCCGAAAGCAGCACACGGCTGTTTCGGACATCCCCTCCACCCTCCGACCAAAAAGTGTGTCCCCCCCCAGCCCGCTGTGTGTCCACGCCCACACATATCAAACAAGTAGGTCGCCAGCGTTTCGAAATAGAAGAAAAAAGCGTGCATGTGTGTGTGTGTGTGTGTTTGTATTTTTTTTCCACTTTTTCCCGAAAATTTCTTTCCTAGTTTATGTAGTTTTTTTTTTTTTTTTTTTTGGCGTTGTTGTTGTGTGGCTTTATCTTATCGGCAATCATCGGTTTTTTTTGAGTTCTTTTTCAAAAAAAAAAAAACTTTAAACCTTTTTTTTTTTTATTTTGGTGAACGAACAAAATTTGTTTGCTTTTGCCGGTTGCGTGTGTGTGTGTGTGTGTGTTTGCTCATGTTCTTCGCACCCGGCATAAAACATCAACAGAGAAAGAGAGTAAAAGAGAGGGAGAGTGGGCTGGGGTGGGTTGGGGTTAACTGGGCGAAGCGGAAATGCTCTGCACTGCCGCGGATGATCGATTGCCTGCTCACAGCTAATACGCTCGATCAGTGGAGGGTACACACAAACACACACAGACACACATACAAATTAATAATACTTATTTTTTTCGGGGCGATAGAGGAACAACAACAAATTATTTAGTAGGCATACAACTACAGAAGACACACCACACAAGTACCAAAACACACACAGACACCGTCTGGAAACTGGGTCAAATATTTTACTTGTATTTGCTCAGCTATCTCTACGCACGCTTCCACGCTCTACACGCTCTGCACTCTGCACTCTCCTTTCTCCACTGCTCTCTGTTCACGCTGTTGTTGCTTTCTTTCATCTTGCTTAGCTTTTGGCGATACTCCGCTCCGCTCCGCTCCGCCCCATCGAATCTCCTCCTCCACTTTCGACTCCTCGAACTCACACGTCGATCCTCTTTCCTACCCATATTGTGGATTAACATTGTTAACTGATTGATTCTTGCCACTTGACAAACTCGCTATTTCTCATTCCTCATACTCTTTGTTCACTCTTCTCATTTCCTTCTTTACCTTTAAAGAATTTTTTTTTTGTTTTTCAAATTTTTTTTTTTACTAAATATCAATTCAGGAATAACGCAATAAAATACCCTGAAATTTTACTATTTGCATTTAAAAGTAAAATATTCGTTAAAAAAAATATTTGTCATAATTAAAATAAATGTATTTCATTTTTAAATTAAATGTATTCAATGCATGATATTAATTTATTTTTAAATTAAATGTAGATATTTAAGGCATGATATTTACTTTAAATTATTTTTATATTTAAGTAATAATTAATATAATAAATAAATAAATTTTTATATTAAATAAAACGCATTTAATGGACATTTAAATGGTAAATGTTTATGTTGATTAATTGAAATATGGTCGAGTTTCCTCTCTCCCCTTCCCACCACTAACACAATCTTCTCTCTGCCTCTGCCTCAGCCTCTTCACAACTTGTTTAATGGTCAGGGCTAAACCGTCTAGCAGCAGCAGAGTCAATGTTAAGCTAACTCTGCGCTCTCTGATATCTTTGGGTTCTACACACATACCATACAATAACATACCATACCATACCATACATTTATATAGATGTATATGTATGTATATGTATAAAGATATATGTGGTTATTTATATTGTAAGCTGTGCATAACGGAACTTAGTGCGGCAATAGCAACAGCAACAGCAAAAACAAAACAATAATCATATTTTACAGCTATCGTTGATCGATAGTTAATAGCCAATAGCCTCCCCCTGCCAATTGGAATATATCAGGTATATCAGCGATTGGATAGCCCAATCAGAAGTATTTCCATGGCCAAGACTGGGCAATGAACTCCCCAGCATAATCCTGTAACCTGAAAAACCCAAAGCAACCTTTACGTTTCTTTTGCCGCAGAAACTTTAATTGGATCTACGTAGAATATCTATGGGTATGGCGAAAGCGTATCTGAATACTGCTGTTGGCTTCAACACCTGCCCACTTCCACCACTTTTACAGGGTAACTTAAGCCCCCAGATGAACCCCTCCCTAGTCGAGCATCTACATATTTGTTTTATAGATTCTCATTTTTATTGAGTTTTATTTTCGTTTTTAATGGATTGGCTCGCGGTTAAATACTGAGAAATTTGCTGTT